GTCTTCTCTACGTTCACTTAAGAGAGTTCCGTCTTCGCTGTCTCGCCTCACCTCCTCGCCTCACCTCACCTTCTGTCAACTTGTTGGTTTTCGCCTGGAGATCTTCGAGTTTGTGCAAAAGACATTAGACACCAATCATCATCGGCGACGAAATCAAAATCTTCTCCTGTGGTCTTTCCATCGGTCAAACAGCGTATGCGCATCTTCTCGCTCCTCACAGTTTGTCGCATGGTTTAGTTGAGTCCAGTTGACCACAATCAGGAAGATGATCGGTGATAGTAGGTGGCAGCTTTGTCTTACTCCTGTCTTCACTTACACTTCAAAGGCCTCACTGAGCTTTCCATTGTGAATCACTTGACATGTAGCATCATGGGTGTTGAGTGAGGTTGACAAGGGTTTGTGTTGCTGAAACCTTAGTGTTGAAGCAGTTGCCAGATTACTTCTTGGTCGACGCTATCGAAGCCCTGTCTCTGTCCAATTGATGCTATATGACATGCTGAAAACTCTGTACAGTATTCCTGATATGACTTTCCAAAGAAAGCCATTATTATCATCATTAATTATTACTATTACTATGAAAAGAAATAATTCCAATGTTCTCATAGCAAAGAAATCTAGATGATATAGTTTTTTCCTCGAAAATAAAAGGGAGTTTCATGCAAAAATCCTAGTGCTGATTGTTATCTCAGCCGAAAAGTGGGGAACATGAATCTCAGGTAATTGTCATTCGTCTTATTAATATGTTGATTTCAAAAGTCATTCTATCTATGACCTAACTGGCAATATTAATATGTAGCTCGGTTAGTAAGCTTTCGATTGACCACCTCATCCATTTATGTATGACTAGTGGTTCAGAACTAATGTCATGCTGAGTGAAATCTGTCACTGTAGATTAACCCGTACTTTTATTTGAGACTACGTGTTTCATTTGTGTAAAGTATGGTGCCTTTTGGTCAGGTAATTCAGTCCTATGTGCAGATGAACTACAACACCTAAAATATAAACAGACAATAAGCACTAGACTTTGTGTACCGTTGTTAGTGCTTGGAGGGTCAGAGTGTATGACTCTACATATGGGTGAGTTCAGTTTACAAGACTGGACAAGCATATATATGATCAGTCACGTACAATGTCAGCGTTACGACTGAGTCGAGATTATCATATCGATCAGATAATCACAACCAGAGAAAGCTATGATAAAAATTTGTTGATAGGGATAAACAAAGAATATAACACTTATCTGTGTTTATTTTAGATCAGTTGGTTAGAGAACAAAATAAATATTTGAACAATGTTTACACTGTATGATTTTGGACGAAATAATGACATTTCTTTGTCTACACTTTCAATTTTACTAACATTTGTAGATAAACCATGTTGATAACTCTAATAGATACTATTCTCTCTGAGAGAATCATATCGTACTCCTTCATCAAGACAGATAACTTCTCTTACAAGCAGATAATCGAATAGTGGGATATATGTTGAAAATTGGTGTATAACTCTGCCTCAGAGGTCTACATATCCATCTTTTAGGTAATGGGATATCGATTTGAAAACCGCTCCACCAACTTTAATTTAGACAAACAGTCATTATCATTAGGCAAGCAAATATTTTATGTCGAATATTCTCCAGATTGCATCGATTGAGTTATATAGAATGGATAAAATTCTATGATGTACTAATCTGTATAGTATTTTAGCGGTTACTAATAGCTCTGATATGACACTTATAAATCTGACGAGGAACAGAGGTAAGATCAGTTTCCTGGCTATTGAGGGTAGCTAATATAAAAGTATTGTTATTACAGTTATGATAATTTTAAAAGTTTGACGCTTAAATTACGTGAAGCTTAAAATGTACAAAGTTCATTAACTCTCATTCTATTGGTTGATTCAGTGAACTTCGTCACTAACTACCACTTAGTGTCTTCATTAGTCAGCAGGCAGCAATCACCAATCTGTGTACTTCTTTGATGCAGACAAACACAGAGACAGTGACAAACTTTCTTTAGTGTTATGAGTGGAAGTGCCTAAAAATGACAATGGATAGCATTTACAACTTTACTTAAATTTATACGGTAACAAATACCAGTCATGCTTTATGGTTCATAAATAAACTAAATTCAAGCTACAAATAAATTTGTGTGTCTAAAATGTATTAATATATTCCGATATCAAAACCGTCAATATCAAATAAACAATATAATATGGATATAAGTGTAAACTCAGTGCCCAAGTTTTACAGTTATATACAAATTAGATTTGTTTATTTGATATATAGTGCACAGTAAGTGATACAGTATTATTTACTTGGTGACGACGTTTCCAATATAAATAATGATTGGTCATAATCATATCTCAATGTTATCATACCACTTTCGATATACAACTCTTATAGTCCTGTCACCTCATATCCTTTCTTTTTGTTGGTAGTACAATTTTCCATATCTCTGGTATAGAGGTGTTGGGTGTTAGCTGATTGGATGAACAAAGATTCAGTAATCAACCTCTCTCTCTCTCTCCATCTAATTAGATCGCACTGAAGTACAGTGGTTTTATTCCACCCACCATATTGTGTGGTTCTGTGTTAATGTATGCATTGCAATAGCTGAGTTGCCTTCTAGATTATTGATTTTATTGGGGTCTGCCATTCTATATTTAGCTAAATTATTATGTTCCGCTAATCGAACTGATCCTGACCGGCTAGTTTGATCTGTGTACTTGACTTCACAGTCATTAGATGGAATTCGATAGGTTAGATTATTTTGTTTGATTGGATCTATCCAATCCTTAAGCCAGCCGATGAAGCTTATCTCTGAGTGAGTTTGTAGGTTTAAATGCCACCCTAATTTCAACCTTGTTGAGAATCCTATGTAAAGTTTCTGATGTACCTTCTTTATAGGGTAACACAATGGAGGGTATGAACTTCTTTCAACTAGTGTTTTCGCCGTTACTTTATTAGTATCACCGCTGTCATTTTGTTTCTTACGTGTTCGCACGAATTTCTTAAAAAACTGTGGAGGTTAACTATTAGTTATTAACGCTTTTCTTACGTGTTTCAGTTCCTTGTTAAAGTCTTTACAATGACGCGTAAGTTTTTAGCTGTTATTTAGACATCTTACTAAAACTGCTTCAGCTGACACTGAATGCAACGACCTGAAGTCTGGATAACTGTTAGAGTGTGTCGGTTTCCTGTAGACGATAGTATTCAAACCACTATCTGTCGTTCCTTTTATTCTACAATCTAATATAGGTAATTCCATTTGTTCATTGTCTACCTCTTAAGTAAATTGGATTTCGTCCACTATTGGGTTTACACATGTGAGGAAATTGTCGATATATTCCGATTTCAACACAGTAAATCTGTCATCCACATATCGCCATTGTATCTTAGATGCAGGATTATGCGTTTGTAAAGCCATGTTTTTCAAACTATCCATAAATATATCTGCTACGATTGATGATCTCATTACTACTTTTATTTGTTCATATATTTTTTCCTGACACTTGAAGTTACACTTACTCAGAGATAAGCTTCATCGACTGGCTTAAGGATTGGATAGATCCAATCAAACAAAATAATCTAACCTATCGAATTCCATCTAATGACTGTGAAGTCAAGTACACAGATCAAACTAGCCGGTCAGGATCAGTTCGATTAGCGGAACATAATAATTTAGCTAAATATAGAATGGCAGACCCCAATAAAATCAATAATCTAGAAGGCAACTCAGCTATTGCAATGCATACATTAACACAGAACCATACAATATGGTGGGTGGAATAAAACCACTGTACTTCAGTGCGATCTAATTAGATGGAGAGAGAGAGAGAGAGAGAGAGAGAGAGAGAGAGAGAGATAGGGAGAGGTTGATTACTAAATCTTTGTTCATCCAATCAGTCAACATAGAACATATCAAATCAACAAATCTAATGTGAAAGTATACACCATCATAATTCCAAAGTTCTGTCATATTACATTTTGTTTTATGTTCAGATAACTGCCTAATTAAGAAATCTGTAAATGTCTTTTGGTAATGCCCAAGACACCTTACTGGGGAGTGATAACAGTTAGAAAGCTTACTCATCAGTCTACTTTTGACTTCGGAAAATTTATTGATTTCAACTGAGTTTTCATTTCAGATCGAAATTAACCACTTATGAACTTTCGAGGTGCTAAAGTGCAGTTGAAATCTCTGAAGTCAAACAAGTTAAGTGTAAGAGGAAATATTACCTTGTAACAGACAGACAGACAGAAAAAGAAATCAGATGTAGAACCTCGCATACAAGTAAATCGCTTCTAGTTGACACATTTCACAGTAGTGTACAATGAATTTGAAAATCAAGCTTATTGGAACTATCAAAGCTTTAGAAGGCGTCAGAGAGTGAATATATCTTCACGATTGCAATCGATTCTCAGCCATGTCTACAAGAGTCCACAAACACTGCTTTCTATAGTCTCAGGGATAGCAACCACACTGTTCACACCTTCAGTCATAGACTTTATTAACTGTATGACCAATGTATGTCACATGGTGATTCCATTATACCATGCTATGAAGACACTTAAGATCAAAGGCTTATAACCGTTAAGTATCTTCTGCTTTTAGCCACCATGTCTCAGAACGGTATCAGGAGATACTGTTCACGTCAAACCACGAATTGATAAGAGTTATGAAATGTGAACTATCGGTTTCGAACTTAGTCGGTAACTTGTTGATCATGAGACTTAGTGATTCTCTGTATGATCCTGAATGTGGCCGTGGGTATTTATTACTGAACAGTTACAAAATAGAGTGAAACAGCTTCTAAGTTTTTCCTTTGTACCTTTGATGATGTTGGTCTTTTAGAACAACCTGGCTATCAACAATCTTACACAGGCATATACCACGTTTAAGTATTGCAGTTTCTCAATATATCTAGGAGATGATAATTATTCAAGAAAATCATGGACAATATTTTCAAAGAAATGTTGTTTTTTTTGGTGTAGAACTTACTTTCTGACCAGGTGTTCCAGTAAACACTGTCATATAATATCCTTGTCCAGGAAGACCAAATAGATCAACAAGTATATATCGATGTGTTGTGTTCTCATTCAACCCATTTACTATATCATATGTCATTAAACTACAAATGACTTTAAATATTAACATTAATTTTAATGGTAAATTTATTTTAAGGCTAATTAATAATATTTGATTGTACATAATTGTGATAATTATCACAGTATATCCAGTAAATCACTTAATAGTTAGTTATATGTAAGTACATTGATGCACTGAAACGAGTCATATAATATAAGAAAATTATAACCAATGATAACTCTCTTTCTAATTTGCAAATACTCATTTCTAGAAAATAAGCTCAGTACATATTGAATTGTTTTCATTAGATGAAGTATATTGTAATGTATGATGTCTAAGTTCATTTCAGAAAATTGATATATCTTTCACCAAAGCTCTTGTCATTCCCTCTGTTTATATTACCCTTGAATAATCCTTCATTCCCTATCCCTTTAATATGTTTAAAAAGAGTTATTATTATTGTAGTGGGTGCTACTGATAATAATGCATATATAAGTAGTATATGTTGAGATGTGGGCAGAAGTCATGAGCAACTACAAGTGATATGGTAAATATTCTACACAGAGAAACACAAGACATAACATGGGCGCGTAAATAACAAAACGAGATAGAAGAAGAAAAGGAAATGAAACACACTATGCAAATGAATATTTCAATCGGAAGGTTACAATATTTCATCAGTAATGTACAAAATGTCTGTTCTACGTTTCATCTTTTGCCGTTGTCTTACACTAATATGCGCGGTTGACGTTCACTTCACTTTTTAAAGTGAACATTTTTTGACCGATTTATGGCATCGCTATGAGGAATACCTTAGGACCATAACCGTTTGTCGATGTACCTGTAATTCTCCGTTATTATATTGGATCGAATTTTTGATCTCTACTGGCATGTGGGTTCCTACGCGAATGCCTTGATATTGCCTGAACATTTATTACAGTAATTTACTTCTTTATGGCTAGCGGAAGAATCCAGGACGCACGTTTCCTTTTATTTGGAACTCGTCGGATGGATGTACCTGCATCCCAGTGTGGAGTATTGTTCCCACTGAGACCCGAAACTTGTATCCATAGCTTCAAACGGCAAAGCCTTATCCACTAGGCCAGTGAAACATGATATCCACGTCTTCAGAAGTTTAAAACCATTATAAACTGGTATCTTCGCGTCACGTGTAAAACTTCTGATTGAAGATTGAATCGATCAAGTTTGTTTGTGTAGGATATATATTCAGAACATCTTAGTTATATGCAACAAGTCTATTGATTTAGATTTATTAGTTTATCACGTGAAGTTGAAGAAAAAAAGATAATTAACTTCCTTTCTTGATATGTTATTAACTTGAAAGGAAAATGGGTGGATAAAAATACCAGTGTGCAGAAAACCTATATTGACTGATAGTGGCTAAAATTCCACACCTTCCATCTCATACAATGCAAACCAGGGCTCAACAGATCTGCATAGCAGATACAGGGAAAGAATAAATCAAATTATTAACAGATACACTCATGAATAACAGATTTCCCCTGAAGTTCATTAATCAATGTAGAAATGATTCTGTCATGAAAAAAGATGTGTACATCACATTACCGTAACTGTATGATTTTAAGATGAATTCAGTTATCAAACGAACTACGCAATCAGAGTAGTTATTCTAGGGAAAGTGAAACCATTGCTGAAATATACGCTTCATCACCACATAAATGATTATACGACATTCTGTTGTGTATACCAATTGATATCTGTCTGTATTCGGTGAAACATACAATGGGAGGAGTAATCGAACTATGAAGTTGAGAGTTGAAGACAATTTCCCTAAATGGGTGGTGAAATAATTGCTTTCAGACAGTCTCAGATATACAAGAAACAGAATAAGCTCTTCACGTATTCATTCTCTTTTATCTTGCAACATTGTTGTTTTCAAGAAACATTTGAATGAGCACGAAAATATATTCTGAAGTAAACGTATGTACTGCATAGATTGGATGTCACATGAGCAACATAAGTAGAAACATCTTGTAAGAATTCATAACATCGTCAAAAGTTCCAAGATTATAACAGAGATTAGTTCATCTATCAAAGCACTTGTCTACAAATATTTATCAGTCTCTAAACTGAATTAAATTGAGTATTAAGATAAGCTGTGACAAGACGACCGATAGCAAGAGAGATACCTTGTAAGTGTTATATTGCCTTCATGTAGGACATTTAAAACCTTTTTTCTTTTCTAGGGGTGTAGGACTTGCAGTAGCATTGATAACCTCACTGTCAATAACGTAATCTTCGCATCTTGAATTCCAGTTATGTGATTTACTTTCGATTAAAGTTATCAGCAACTTGGTTGTGGCTAGCATAGGAACACGGAACGTGAGTTTCATCCTGTTTTAGGACTTGTATCAGTTGGATGTACCCGCAGCCCAGTGAGTGAGCGATGAACCTTGCACGCATAGTTTTAAACGCCAAAGCGTTATCCACTATCCCACTTAGGCACGGTAATACATATTCAGGCAATATAGAGGCATCTCCAAAGGAGCCCATATGCAAAAGAGGTTGAACACTTCGATCCAGTATAACAACGGAGAATTATAAGTATACCAACAAATAATTATCAATTACGTTAGAAAATGATAAAGAATAATAAATAGGTATACCTAAATAAAACCTGGGAACTTATTTATATCTGACTCCGTTTTAATCAAAGTGATTCAACAAATATTCCCCTGAGGATTCATATTTAACACATTAGCTTTACGTAATCCATTTTTTCAGGTAAACATTCAGTCCGAAAACGTGTCAGAGGTATTGTTCATTTTGTTAACTTACCCATACCCTCAAATACAAACATATAGGCTCTTGTCAGTAATTTTAAGTGAGAAAAACAAAGTCAATTTTCTGTTTCAAAATTATACCCAACTGCTTTCTGTTGATATGAAACAGATACTTTTCCAATGGTGTAGTCTTTCAATGGTTTCTTAAAATGATAGGGATTTGTTTATAACATCTATTTCCAATTTCCGTTGTCGATCCATCATAATGAAAGGCTATTACTGGTCATTTGGATGATCATGATAAATAAATATCCGGTATTAACGCTGGATTACCTGTTTGGCTTGACAGTTACCAATGTGATTACTATGAAATGACAGTTACATATCATGAATTCATATAGTAGCTAGGCAAAACCCTTAGTGATTGAAGTGAAATGGAAATTTGATCAGTTGTTGCGTCTCAAAGTTTGAGTTGGTGAAGCATCGGACTAGTAACCTGGTGGCCAATGGCTTAAATTCTGTTATGACTTAGATTTTCATTTCACCTTCATATCATCAATACCAGTCTACCAAACCACGACGATCTACGACAGTTTCATCAATAAAAAGAAATAGGAAATTCTCTATGTTTATCATATGTTCAGATAAGGATAGATAATAGTAACACAAACTAATACTCTTTCCTCAACTTTTTCCAGCCATTTGAATCACTAACCATTGAAAGACAGGAGTGCGCTTAAAAGCTTTATTGCAAGGTTGTTTGATACATACAACCGAGAATCTGATAATATAGTTTCAGATGAATTTTCACGCTCTGGAATGAAATGAACGAGTGGAATGCAGAAATGACTATTAATCCCTCAGCATCTTATTCTTCACCGAGTCACGCAAATATTAAAAGACAAAGGCAGACCTGGAGTGACTTTAAAGGCTACTGCAACAACTGCTGAAGTAACCAATCACTTTCCTCTATTGTGTGAAAAAGTGTTTTACCATCCAAACACCGCAACCTGATTGGCTATTTTAGCAGCTATTGGAGTGGCCTTTAAAGTCACGCCTGATCTGTGACTTCAAGGACGACTTTATTTGATAAACCACAGCATATATACATAATTTCCACACACCTAAAAAATGTCCAAGACCGAAAACAGAATAACAATCTTATTGGCTACACTACATACGGAATCGTCCAATAAGGTTATTTTGTCGACATATAAACGTAGCTCAAAATCTGAAAAAGACACTTCTGTCCCAATGAACTATGCCTTAAAATGTTGATTTCCATTTCTGGCTACTTGATACCATAGAACATTGTAGATTGATGCATTATAAGTAAACTTTGCATTAAAAATTTACTTATAACATATCAATCCATTTCACAATGTATAAACTTCTCATGGATATATGAAAGCAAATTTCCGCTTAATGTTTGAAGCTGGCTGGCAAGGTTGCCTAAATTGCAGAAGAGACGAGAAAATATGGCATAAAAGTGCCTGGCTAGGAATCTGAGATGGCAGATGGAATGGAAGTGGACTACCAAAACTGTCAACTACAGAGTCAATAATCTACTCCGATATTGTCACCGAAATGACAACCACGAACACAGCTCACTGAGTTTTGGAGTGGCTTTCATGATGCCCTCAAGAGCACCGAAGGCTCTCTCTTACGTAGTGTGAACCAATCTCCTCAACGACCAGGATCATGACTGCAAGGTTCAACTCAAAAAAAGGGAAAGTCACAATCATACAATGCTACGTTGTGCACCCACAAATAACGCAGATTAAGAGAAGAAGGAAGAATTCTACAGACAACTGCAATCAGTACTAGACAAGACTCCAGTTGGCGTCATCAAAATGTTATTGGGTGGGGTGACATGAATGCCAAACTGGGAGAGGAAAACACAGGAAGAGAACTCATCATGGGTTGAAAAGCACTCGGTGAAATGATGAATGAGAATGGAGAACTGTTTGCAGGTTTCTGCACATTCAACGATTCGGTGATTAGAGGCAGTGTGTACAAGCACAAGTATATTCGCAAAATGACATGGATTTGTTTTCACTAGATGGACACACTAAAGATCAGATGGACTCTATCCCAACGTGAAGAAAGTAGAGACGCAGCCTACTGGACACAAGACCAGATCAAGATATTAAGCAGATGTAGGTTCACACCGCTCACTGTCTGGTGCAAGGAACATTCAAAATCAAATTGAAAGCCTTCAAAGAAGCTGGTGATAGATCACAGTTGAAGTTGAACACCCAGAACAGAAACTGAACTGAAGGACGAAACCACAAGGGACATCTTCACATCAGTCAGCCATCAGGACAAAATGGGAGACAGTGATGAACATCCCTGAGG